GTGGTCAGGAGTAGCAACCCCTGCCCGCGTACACACACACACACACACTCACACACACACTCTCTCTCTCTCTCTCTTGCTTGCTTGCTTGCTTGCTTGCTTGCTTGCTTGCTTGCTTGCTTGCTTGCACGGCGTTTGGGGCGGGCCCTAGGACCCCAACCCCTGCGCTCTCGCCCTACGCCAAGGTCTGCCGTCTTTCAGTCGGGGTGAAAGCTGCTTGGGTGTCGGCACTTCCAGCCCCGAGATTCCCCTGAAGTCCCCTGAACCCCTGCTCCTCCTGCCTGGGCGGGTTCGCTGGTGCCGACCCCCACTCTGTGCTATGTCTCAGTGCGTTCCCTTGTCGTTGCAAGGGATGCCAAGGATGCGGTGCTCCAAGGATCGATAACAAGCGCTTACGGAAACCCAACTTAGGACAACAGTAGTCACAACACGGGCTGTTCTCTGGAGCTTGATCTGTCACTACTGTTGTTGTACAGCGGGTTTGTGGAGTGTGTTGCTTGTGTGCGGCACGGGTCCCCTGATGAGAAGCACGGGGCATAGGCAAAGACGATAGGGGAACACTCATACATTTAGGGGGAGGTCCTGGTGTTGCTGTGGACGGAAGCTGGTGCCTTTCGGGTCGGGAAACAGAAGGGGAAGGGTAAACAGGTAACTAAGGGAACATCACACACTGAGGCCCCTGCTTCCGTTGTGGTTGGTGATTGTGGTGGTACATGTGGTTGCGTCCCCTACCGGCTGCGTGTCCTAGGCATGCTCGGCTCATCCCTCTCAGATCGGGATCTCTTTGGGGCCCTGTGCACTCCGTTATCATATAGATAACCGGCTTCTAGTTGCATCCTCCGTCGCAGTCTACGGCGTTCACGCCATTCTGCTCTATCTTGGCGGTCCCTGGCCACCCTAGCTGCTTTAGCGGTGCCCTCCGTCTCGGCTGGTTGCTTGGGCGCTGGGTTGGTGGGGGCCCAGAGGGCTCCGCCGGTCTTTGCGAACCCCATGTTCTGCTCGCTGTCCCCGGCCTCCTCTTGGCTGCCCTCGGTCAGTCACCTTCTTCCTCTTGGTGGAAAAAGTCAGCCTCCGTCTGTTCCCCTATGCCGCTGTCCTGTGGGCAGTCCTTGGTCCCCGTGTGCTCGTCGGCTGGGGATGCTGTCTCTTCGAACACGTCCACGTGCGGATGCAGTCCCCGCAGCTGTGTCTCGTCGGCATCTGGAGGAACAAGCTGAGGTGTCCATGGTGTGGAGGTCGGTGTCGGTCCACCGGCGGGCTGGTAGTAGGTGTCTTTGTCGTGCTTCTCCCGGGAGTTCTCGGTGTCCTCGTGGTAGGCGTGGCTCGCGTCGGTTTCCTGAACGTCCCCTTGGGGGCAGACGTAGTTGCTGTACTCTGTCGCGGTCCTCACGTGCTGCTCCGGCCGGGGGGGGGTGCGCCGCGAAGGCGCTCGTCTCTGCTGTGACGGTTCGCGGGATGGCTCTAGCTGCCCCTGCTTCAAGGGGAGTGAGTCCCCGTATCACCCCCGTCCTGCTGGTGGGTGAGACTGTGCTGCTTTGCTGTTGGCTTTCCTGGCTGTCGCACGCTCCTTCTGTCGCATCCGGGGGGCTGGGTTGGTGGAGCTATGGCCACTTGCTCCTCCTGGGCGATGCTGTTGTCCTCAGTGGTGGCAGGCTTTGGTTGGGTTCGGTGCTTCCGTCCATGGTGCTTGTTCTTCTTTTTGCCCCGTGCTTGGGAGCGAGGCGGCGGGGTCCATGCCATGAGCTCGTTGAAGCCGGCGTCCACGTCGAAGCCCTCTTCTTGGGTTGGCGAGTCCCCTGTTGCTGCCTCGAGTGTGGCAGGCTTCGCGGTCCGCGTCGTCGTTGGTGCTGGCTTTTGCGCCAGTCGTGGAGCTGCTGCTGGCGCTGCTGCTGCTGCTGCTTGTCCCCTGCTTCCTCTCCGCCTTTTTGGCCTGGCTCGCGGCTGGTGGTTCGTGGCTGGTAGTAGGTCTCGTTCGCGGGCTCCGGGTTGATCGTGTAGTCGGTGGCGAGGAGGTCGTAGTTTGTGCTCGCTTCTTCTTGAGGAATGCCAGGGCTTCGCCCCCGTTCATTGCCCTCTGGCCGTAGAACACACAGTGGGGATCTTGGCGGTTGTGTCCCCCATGGTGTTTCGGGCCGACTTGGCAGCGTAAGGAACCTGCTGCCTGGCCCCGTTGCCGCTCTTCCATTTGACGTGGGTGCCCTCGTCCAGGTAGCGGAGTTGTAGAGGTCGGCGTTGGGGAAAAAGGTAGCGTCCCCGGCGAGCCCAATGGCTTCAAAAGGCCGTCCCCTTCTGTATGGGCGGTTGAAGTTCGAGCCAGACTCCGGACTCTAACGGTGCAGGGTGGGGCAGGGGCATGCTGTGTCCCCGTCTGAGTCCGCGTCTGGTGCATTAATGCAGAAACTTTTTCCTCAAGAAACAGTACTCTAGACAGGAGTTGCTTATTTACAGCGGCCGTCCCGGCCATTTGCACCTCGAAACTGTCCCGCTTCTCTGTGAACTCCTGGATGCACCTTCGAGCCTGGTGCACTTGGTCGTTGAGTTTTCGGGTGGCCTGGGCAACTGCTTCGCGGACCATCTGAAGGGTCGTTTCGTCGAGCTGGGTTTGGGCTTTAGCGAAGCACCCGTGCAGCTCCCCTTGAAGTGCCTTGATGATATTTGATGATGGCCCCGGTCGTCAGCTCGTCGTGTTTGCGGGGATTTGGGGAAATGTCCCCGTTTCCACCAGCCATGGAGGTTTGCATTCACAGTCGGGTTGCCACTATCACGGTCATGTACGCGATGGTGCCCCTCACCCAGTGAAGCGCTCCCGGCGAAGGTCCCCGGAGAGGTAGTTGTCGAGTAGGTTCGCCGGTCACCGTCAGGTAGTGGTGGGCAGTGTCCCTCTCTCGCCAGGCAGCGGTCCCCGAACAGGAGTGGAGTCACCGAATTCCCCGTTCAGAGCGGTGACGAGGAAGACGCGTAGTGCTGCGGACTGGTACAGGAGGACAATGGCTGGGCACAGGTCTCTCTCTCAGGCCCGCGCCGGGTTGCTCCCCTTTGGTACTCTCGGGGCTCGGGGCTCGAACCACTCACGGCTTGAGCCAAAATCTCTCTCTCTCTCTCTCTCTCTCCATGCCAGCAACCCACTCGCAACTTGTCCCCCAAAACGATGGACTCCGTAGACACGGAACCGTGCAGCAGAATCCAGCGTCTCGTTGGATTCCGACCGTGTCACGGTCACGTTAACCTCAGGCGCCAGCCAGGGAGATACTGGATCGGCTGAAGAGTTGCAACTGTTTTGTCAACAGGGCATCTTTCGATGACACAAGACACAGGCAGACGATGGCAGACGGTACACCGTGGAAATCATCGGTCAGCGCCCGAAAGGTCCTCCCAAAAGCGACGCCCTTCCCTGAAGAGTAACCGCATCATGGGCAACGAACCCTTGCAGATGCCGATCTAGGTCTAGGTAATTCTAGGTACCTACGTACATCAGTGATCCAACAATCTGCCTTGACATCCTTGACAAAACCTGGAGCTGATTCGCCACATGTCTGAAGTGTCAACCCCTCTCGCCTCGGATGTATCCGTGGCTGTGGTCTGAGTGCGAGCTCGCAGGCGTGCAGGCTTCGCTGACTTTCTGGGACCTCCGCAGTCATAGTAAACAGTTTAAACCCGAGTTAATGTGTACATTGAAACTGCTGCTGACGACAGGAACCTTGACAAGCTGGCAGTAGCATGTCACCACACTGCTCTGCATTTCACGAACGAGTATCTGGCCTCGCTTCCTTGCCTCTTCGATTGCGTGCTGCTCGAGCTCGCTCCAAGCGTCGCCTAGATGCCAAGAGCCAAGAGCCCCAAAGTTCTTGTGTGAAGTCAAGACATGCACATGCACTACCGGAGTTCAATATCATGCAAAAGGATGCAAAAGGCAGATGCCAAACGTGGTCTCGGACTTGAGCTTGGAAGGACCAAAAGCCTCTCTACCAGACCCCTGTTCCCGACTGCTAAGACGCTAAGCTCCGCATCCCCCAAGAGCGTGTGCTTTAAGAATCGATGGCTTCCTTTGCTTTCCCGGCCGAAGCGGCCCACTTGGCTCTTGAAGGTGCAAAGAGCGCGGAGGAGTTGTGCTGCAGCCTCTGCGAGCTGGCTCTCCTCGGGAACACCTCGGGTAGCACGCTGAGTCACACAAGGCTGGACCGTACGCGACTGGATTATTGTACCCACCAAAACTCCAAGGCTCATCCCGATGCAAGCAAGTCCGAGATAAATGCCGAATGTAGAACCCACATCCTAACGCGCACTATGACTCCTAGCTGTTTAACATGTAAGCACCTATCCTTTAGTCTTGCAGCTCCCATTGATGTTCCAAGCGTACCATCATTTATCATCGGCCGTCAGATCTGTGCTATCGTCCCGGGAATATGTACATAGTCACGGGATTACGTTAAGTGTCTGCAAAACATGCTGTGATACTCCTCAAGAAGCCCGACGAATCCCTGCTACCTAGTTACCAAAATCTCCTCAACATCACTGCAGTCCCTTCTTCCTGAAGCAGCTAAACTTTCAGAACTTTCGCTTCAGTGTTAGCGCACAACTGGTTGAACCCAGAGTTCGTTTTGCAAAATATCTTGTGCAACGCTTCTTCTAGGGTGTATAAACCCCGAGATTCGCAAGGAAGATCATGCAGTCATGAAGATTTGGGCGCACATCTCTACTGAAATTCGAAGTCGAAGCCCCAACACAGGAAAGCCCTAGCCCAAAACTGAAATCTAAACCCTCTGACCAAACAACCAGGTCGAGAGGCCACCAAAATATCGTTTTCCAGTATGCAGGGGTGGAGCCCAACACCCTCAACCAACCACTAAACATGTCAATTTTGCAGCCATAGCAGATGGGACCCAAGACGACCAAACCTGTAAACCCTCAATTTTCACTCTATGACGAGTAGGCGTTAAAATCCCTAAACCCTTGAACCAGGAAGCCATTAAGCCGGAACCATTCATTTACCCCCAATGATTGGCTAGGCCCCGAGGGATTAAACCAATCGGCTACATAGTATGAATGGTTTGGGGTGCCTGACCGCCATAGGAAGGAAACGAATGGCTTCAATTGTGAGTGGTTAGGTTTTTTTCCGCCATGCCTGGGTTGGGCCTGATGCGATGGCTAGGCACCCCAAACAGTGGGAAAGATTTAATGCTTCGGAGTTTGGTTGCCAAGCCTAGCGGGGGGAATGCATGACTTCAGGTTTAAGGCCAAACCAATTTCCACTCCTCCTCCTCCTCCTCCTAAACTGTAAGGGTGACCGGGGAACTGAGTGGCTCAATGGTTTGGGGACCGGGCCAAAGGGGGCAAATGAATGGCTCAATGGTTGAATGATTAATGGTTTGGGGGCCTAACCAGGCCGAGGGAATGGGTGGGAATTGAGGGATTCATTGACTGTTTCGGGTCAGAACATCTGCAGCTTATCACCGTCCTTGGCAAGCGATCTCCACACACAGACAGCTTCACACACAGCTTCAGAAGGGGCACCGAGACCGAAGAAGCGGAGCAATCCACGGCAGTCTGCCTACACAGGATCTAATTGCCGCTCTCGAATCTGCACTTCGTCAATCAGGAACTGTGTAGAACTTTCAACAGACGATGCAATGTAAAGCCTCTAGAGCCTTTCTTGCAAAGTCTCCTAACAAGCCATGCTATGACCTCGGTCGCAGCCAGCGTTCTCGACCACTTCTCGACCACCCCTGTCATCTCAACCTCACAGCATTTGGCTTCGGGTTGCGCTCTAAGACAGTATCCACACCAAGAAACGAAGGCTTGCAGATCGCAGATGATCTCTATACTACTCGGACATCCGTCAAGGCACGGGCACTATTGACCACTGAACACTTCTGAAACGGTGTGCAGAAGCAGGAGCAGTGCTGACATCGTCCGTCACAGCTGGGAGTGCTTTAATGGCATTACAGGGTAACGGCAACGCTTCTGCGAGGGGCTAACTGCCCCAGCCGTTGGGCTTGACCGAAAGCTCTGATTCTCGACGAACTGAACGCCGCCCTTGTAGAATGCCATAAAAAGGCTACTGACTTTGTGACTTTGCTTGTGTGACATGCCCTGGTGGGGATTCTGGCGGGATTGTCTGCCTCCAGATGTCTCAGCTGCGAGAGCGCGTCTGGAGGATCCAAGGCTTCGGTAGCACCTGAAGCAGAGAATGCAGAATCGTGTGCCGGCATCCTCCGGCCCACACGGCCTGAAAGCTGGCAGAAGCTGCCAACCCATGGCATACCACAAACCTCATCGTACTCCTGCTCCTGCCGACATTGTCAGGAAGTGGCAGGCTGTCTGCTATGACAAGGCAGCCCACTTCTGTCCAAAGCCCTGGTCCTCACAGTCCGAGTCGATTTGAATAACTTCCACCGTTGCTGGCTCAGCCTGCCGAAATCATGCAGAATGATGCACGCATGCAAGATCATGAGCGTTGAGGATCTCTGCGCTGTTGCGCCCCAGACTGAGAAGACATGACCATGAACCTGACAAAATCTGAATCCGGAGCCACCCGTCTCCAAGCTTTAGTGGCTATCTGTGAACCGGTGCACCTAATCTGTTCAACCCATTCCGCCTCTTTGGCCTCTTGGTCGGACGAGCCTGGTAGTGAAGTTTCGCTGCTGAAGAATCGGAAGGCGGCTCAACGACAAAAACTTCGGCCGTGACAAAAAATACTGCGCTCCCCCGGCTGTGCACACGTCTAACTTCTAAGTGCTCAATGCAGCACATGCCGATGACAAAAAGACAACCGTACACACCCATCTCCACTGAAGCAGCTCGGATACTAACCGCCCCCACGCTGAACATCAGCCGGCGCCGCAGCCGATCCTGCATGGAGTACGCAGAACTGACAATGCTGTGCCGCTCTGCAAACAGGGCTGAGCCGCTCTCCAAAAGAACTTGGCATTTAGAACGATCTGGGCCACCCTCCGATTCTCAATGCATCATCGGTCCGTGCTCGCCGCCGGATCTTCGGCTTCGACTACGGAAAAAGAGAGCGACTTCCTCGCAAACAAAGCTTGCTGGCAGCATTGTCATATGAGGCAAGACACAGCACGACACAAAAGGCTACTGTAGCTGGTGCCGGGAGAGTAAAACACTACAAGAACATGCAAGAGCATTTATGTCGACCGGTCGAGGGGGGTAGAGGGTCGATGGGGGCAAAGGCCGAGGAGAGTAAAGACAGGACCTGGCTCTACTTGGCCTTCGGCTCCCTTATCTCTCTCCCTTCTCTCTCTGCAAACAAGATGCGACTCGGCAGTAGGTGACCTGATCATGATTCGCACACTTTTTGTCTAGGGGCTCCTCTTTTCCTTTGTGAGAAAAGCCGTTGTTTCGTCTCAGGGATAAAGGCAACTGTATAAGCTGTCTGACACATTCGGCGCTGATTCGGAAGACATCCAGCTTCGAAGCACAGGGATTGCATAACGAAGATGAAGGAAGGCTTAAAGACCACCGACTTTCTAGGCTCCTGCACATTCCTACAAGTACTCCTTTGCAGGGCAGGAACCTCGCATCTGTGCCCCGAGGACTCGGCCCGTCTGCAAAGAGGTCGAAGAGTCGCGTTGGGTCCACGCCCACACCTTTTTGGGCACATGTGGCAGCACGCAAGAGCTTGCTGAACACCGTGAAGCTGCCGAGGTGCGGTTTTCCAATCCGGATCTTACGTCCACCCTCAGATAGGGCCAATGGGAGCGGTAGACACGAAGAGGGACACGCAGAGAGGCACAGAGGAAAAGCAATCCGGACTTGTTGTCCTTCTAGAGTCTACGATTAGCTACAGTATGTACCCGCAACACCGAACAAGCTGTCACACACGAAGTGATTTGTCCTCCCTCACACCCCAAATAGACAAGGCTGAAGCGCAAGGTGTCTTGGGCCCCTCGTCGAGCATTCGTTCCACCTGTCTGGACACATCGCAGTGCCTGAGTGCGGTGATCCGACTGCAGTCAGGGAGCAGGTTTAGATTTGCTGATACGGGCCGGAGGGTTGGGTTGATTGGGCTCTGCTCCGCAGTAGGCGTAGCAGGCGCAGCAGTCAGGAAACATCTGAGGAATCGTCGATCCCACGCTCCGCTCAACGTGTTCCACTTCCTGCTTCTTGCTGTAGTCTGTACAGCCCGCAGAAAGTGTAAATCCAAGCTACCGAAACTGGCCATGCAAAGGGGAGCTTCAGTGTCCTGCTTCCCTAGATCCCTAGCAAGGGCTGAAGATGCTGAAGCCCTGCTGTTCGGCAAACCCTCCCAGATGGAGGCCGGCCTCCAACCAAGTGTCCAAGTGTTCTGCAGAGTCGCATGCCATTTGTACAGTGGTCTGGGTGGCCTGAGATGTGATCGAGCTTTCGGGATTCAGTTCTTGCAACCTCGGAAGCCTGCCTCATCCCTTGCATTTCGGGCCAGGGCCTACAATCAAAGCAGAAAAGCGCATCTAAAACATACACACAGGCATCGATGAGCCTGTGCAATACAACACCAGACAAGAGAAGCAAAGAAGAAACATCTTGTGCCACGGACTTGCCATACGTGCCTACGGCATTGGCGCAACTTTTTTGGCAGTATTCACTGCGCTGGCCGTCAAAGGAAAGTCGAGCAATGAAACGGCCTGTGCAGCCGGATTGTGGGGTTATACTCATGCTGGGAGTGCCCACATCCTTGTGAGAAAATATGGGAAACACGTCTTCGTCAAAGTCGTCCGGAGTGGCATGGCGAGATGATTGATGTGCTGGTGAAATATGACAAACATGGTAGGCTGGACAGCTGGACCAATGGCGGGGTTTGTTGTCTTCAATACTTGGAACATGGAATCACAAGCCGCGGTAACAACAAATGACATGATGCCCTGCGGATCAACGACGAGGCGCGGTTTGAAAGCTGGCGGACATGGCCAAAAACAGGAATTCGAACGAACGTATTTCCGATTCCGGCGTCTTGTTCTTGGGGATTCTTGGACGGACCTTGACTCCGGGGACCTGAGGTTGTCCATGAATTAGTTATCTCTTCATCGGAATCAGCGGCGAGACAGCCGGCTTTTGCCGGATGCATCGTCGACGTGACTCGGGCAGGTGTTGGCAAAACACGATCATGCACGCTCCATGTGCTGAGCGTCCAGAGGAAGCTGGCCATCAAGTGCGAATGAACTCCGGAAGTAGCGATCGGACCTCTGCTGGGTAGGCTTTGCGGCTAAAGCCGGAGAGCCCCGATGATTGAGGGCTCTGGTGACAGCACTGTGTACGAAACCATTGCTTCAGAAACCAACTCGGCCGGCTGGCCAGTGTTGACTGATGGCAACCCTGAATGACGAAGCCTAAGGCCTAGACTCCTAGACTTCTTACTTCGGTGAAGCCTCCCGAAGTAGGGAATCCAGGGGCTTGAGATGCTTAAAGTTTGGAAAGCTGCGGCCTGAGATGCTCAGTTACAACGACCTTTCACCTTTCAAGCAGGTTCCCCTGCGTTCGTGCCCAAGCACCTTTCTAGGCATCGAAGACAGAGGTGCTATCCTTGAAACAGTCTTGGACTAGCAGAACTCGAGCATCGTTTCTTACCCAGGGCTGTCACTGTCCATTGCTTCGCGCACGGGCATTCCTACGAAACGGATGATGGACACCCGAGGTCGGATTTACACCACATGGCAGCTCATCCGCAGGTTCATGCTGCTGCGGAGTGTGTTCTCCAGGCTGAATGGTCAGCAACAACAACGACGACTGTGCAAGTATAGGTTTTGGCAACAGGTGTGTCTGGTTGCTGGCCAGCGGCTGTACAGGTAATCAACCCAGACAACCCATATTTACAGATCCCTCTGGGAGGATCTCATCGGTCGGTTAAGCGAACCGACAGGCTCATGCCAGGAGTCTAAGGAGAGCAAATCCATGAAGAATGCTGGTGCAGAATCGGAATCGAAGTGCACACAGACACACTCGGACACGCACATATGGTTCGGGAAGCGAAAGGCACCCCATAGAAAACATTGCACCGACTGTCCAGTACACGCACCAACTGCTTGATTGGCTCCCACAGCTCCTTGCTGCAAAGCCCCTCGTTTAAATCATACCTGGTGCACTACGGTATCGAGCTCTCAGTTCGAATGATTGGGCATGCCATCGACAACTGATTATCCATGAGGGGGCCTTGCGGACGGGCCTGCGAAGTGTAAGCTCCATGCCCATCTTGTGAAAAAATAAACACGATTGCAAGACTCTGTTCCAAGCGATTAAATTTGCGAAAGCAAAGCCACGAAGACGTCGATGGTGCTCGCTGCAATAGAACATAATGAAACCCAAGCCCTCCAACACCACTCCTTTCGTCTCTCTCTCTCGCTCTCTTCTTAGCACAGAGAAATCAGAGCACGCCCTGCTCGCGCGCACGCGCGCACTGGCCGTTCTTTCTCCGTCTCTCTTTCTTTCTTTCTGCAGGGCATAGGGGTCGGTTGGCCCGACCCTCAGGCCTTTGGCCCGCCCTACCACCCATTGTGTTATTGAGTGGTAGGCATTGGGGCCCCTCTGACCGTTGAAACTGAAGGCAAGGCATGTGGCTGACCTCTTGTTGCAAGCCCCCTTCCCCGAACACTAGAACACCCCCAACCCGCCTCGTCCCCGCGCCCCTATGGCATCGTTGCGAGGCTTGCGACAATCGGTAGAGCCCCCATGCATTTCCACGGTTTTCGTGGCGGACCTTCTATGTGGCTAGGGGGACTTGGAGGCCTCACTCCGTCTCTCTCTCTCTCTCTCTGCCGGGCTTAGGGGTCGCTGTTGCGACCCTCAGGCCTTCGGCCCGCCCACTCACCCACTGTTTTATTGAGTGAGAGCTATGAGACCGCTGCACAAGAGTACGAAGTCTGCGACAGAACCCAAACAGCAAACCCCCGACCCTGTACGCTAAGCACCCCCAACCTGCATCCCGGCCTCATCTCCGCGCCCCCTATGGGCAACCAAGGGGCTTGCTGGGTTCTAGTCGGCAGAGCCTCCATGCTCTTCTTCCCCAGGGCATGCGGGGTCTGTCAAACCCCCCGGCCAGTTGGCCCCCCAAATTTCATGGGGTTTTCAGAGGGTGTGAAATGCATGTTTTGTCAATGTCCGGTTTGCCCTCTCTCTCTCTCTCGCTCTCTCTCTGCTTCTGCCCTACGTGGGGTAAGTGCGAGATCCCCCGGGAGCGACCCTCACATCCGCGCTCCTCTTCCTCCCTCTTGCTTGCTTGCTCTCCCTCTCTCTCTCTCCCTTCCTCCCTCTGTCTGTGTCTGCCGGACTTATAGGGTTGGACAGAAACCTGCAGCTCTTCAACGGCCACATCTCTCAAGCTTCGATTGTACGCAATTACTCCCTGCCTACTCTTGTCGCCTGTTAACATCTGACTTTCGTGACAGATGCTTTGGGTTGGCAGGAGGCACATCTGCCGCGATTCTGTTGTCACTATCCGCGTACGATGATAATTGAAATAGAAGACTGCGAGGACAAGTTAGCCTCAAGCCTGCACTGACTCCGCAGTAGGCCGCTGCAGCCATTCACGTGCATATAGGGCACACTGTAGCTCTCGCAGTATCGCGTGAGCACAGGCCCGAGGTCGTGTCACAGTTGCACGATGACGCGTAGGCAAGCTGCTTTCCTGTTCTTTTTGCTGCTCTTCTCCTCCAGCTCCTGGGCTTGCAGGGATGCGCAGAGCCAAATAGAGCCAAGCTGATATGCAGAACTAGGATCCAGAGTGACCTGGTCAAGGTTCATGTGATCGATGCTGTAGTGACATCTGTGGTTCAGGGCTGGCCCCACGAACGCCGCAATTCCAAGCACTCCGAAGTCTGGGCCTGGGGCCTCGCCACTTCTGGCTCCCCCCTCATGAGTCATGACAGGATGATGTTGCCACAAGCCAAACACTGCGACCAGCACCCCAAATCCCAAAGTCTAGACTCCTAGATGTTGAAGAGTTGAAAGGGCAAGGGGCCGAAGCTGCTGGGACAATGTTACGGCCCGGGTCCAGTGAACACATCGATGCACTTATCTCGAGACGGCCCCCTGGGACTTGAGGATAGCTTGGTGCAGCTCCGGCGCCAATCTCAGGCAGAGGTCTTCTTCCATCCGTGTCCTATGCAAGAGTGCAATGGCTTGAGTGTTGCGGGTCAGGATGCCCGGAAACGTGTTCAATTCTGCCGACGACACATTGACATCACGTGGAACCCTTCAGACAGAGGCGAAGTCGGGCACCCGAGACCCGCCTGCGTGCGCCAATGGCTTCTTCAAAGAATTCCTCGGTTTCGCGGGCAGCCGCAGGCAGCTCAGGCTCGGGCCCACCTCCGCTCCAGTGGGCCAGTGAATTGAAAAGTGCCAAGGCGCGGGATCGCGGGAGACGGAATCGAGGAAGAAGGCCAGAGCTTCTTCCTGGCTCTGGATGGGTTCAGAATCAGAATCTTGTTGAACGTAAGGCCAACGGAGGCTATTTAAGGGTTTCAAGCTCTACCAGCCATCTCCAGAAAGTCCAAACCAAGCTCTGATGTTGCTCCGTAACTCACTGTGCCAGTTCATGCATCCCTGGGGTCCTGCTTGAGATCCTTATTGGACAACACCGGCTGCGATGCCCTCGGCAGGGTCAATCAAGCATACTGAGGAGACTGACGCGAGTTGTCACCAGGACACATTTCGCAGCTTTCTTGAGGCCAAGGTGCTTAGGGGCCTTCAACATTGATGAGGTAGTCGTTGAGTCAGTACCAGAAGTGCACATCTTCTGAATAGTCATAGACTTCTCCCGATTCTCCACATTCGGGGCCATTGAAGTTGTTGGTGAGACCATGAGGGACTCTGAAGCAGATTTCCACATCCTCGGGCTCAAGTCCCCAAAACGAGAAACCCAAGAGGCTGCACGGTCCATCATTGCCACGGAGGGCATCGTAGCGTTCGTGATCTCACTGCAAAAAATTTGAGAGAAAAGCCATGGCTGCGGATCACCATGCATCATGCATATTATGCATCCATGGCATAGACTCTTTGACAGACTCCATAGACTCTTGGACAATTTGCTCGCTGCGTGTCACCCCTCCACCACGAATCGCCCCGAATCTCGAACTCAATCATCTAGGCCATGCGCCAACAAAGCGCAGGGATCTCAAACTGCACCCAGGGCTCCTTCAAATGCTCCAACGAAAACACCAGCTATCCAAGTCACTGGGTATTCCAGCTCAAACCCGACCGGTGCAGTTGGAAGAAGTCCTCTGCAGCTTGCTGCGACAGTTGACAATGGCTTCGGTGACGTTTCGGTTTTGGCTGCGGGCTGCCAACGGAGCTCTGCGGTTTGCTTGGGATGGCTTGGGGATGCTCCTCCGACTTTGTGAGGCCCTATAAGCTCGAGGCTGGGGGCCACTGAGATTGGAGGCATCCCTGTCTCTTCGACTTCAAGAATCGCATCTCATGCAACACATCTCAGGACCCGTGCAACCAAGCATTGTTTGCATCGCAGACTTAGCAGGACTCACGAACCCTGGGTCTCTCTGCCTCCTTCTTGCAATACCACAGTACCACTGACTATCGTGACTACCGCACGCAGGGCTTTGGGCTGCAAGGTCCATCGTGCCAGAGTGTCCTTTGGCAGTTTCAGAACTTCCCTCCGCATCGAAGGCGTGAATTCGCATGTCCTCATGCAGAAGACGTATGCACACCGGCACAACCTCTTGTAGTATATGACAACATATGAGTCTGTGCTGTCTTGTTTACGCTTCTTTGACCCCTGCAATAATCACGGGGCCGGAGTGCCTGTGGCTGGTGTCAACGTTCATGGGCCCCCTTCTCTCCGGGATGCTTTCATAACATAGTAGACCATATATTATGAGAGGCTCGGGCGGCCGATGCGAAACGAACGGATTGACATTGCCTGTTCTTGCGCTTGACCCTCTCTGCACGCCTCCAGAGTCCAGGCAGCTTCTGGTGCAAGACCTGGTCCAGGCTTCGGGGGGCACGGGATGGTACGGATGAGGGGGGATGCCACTTTCAACGCTCTGTGTTTCTCTGCTCTGGACCTTAAGCTTGGTGACAGGTAGCTCTTCTTCAAGCACTGCTTCAGGCTCCCCCGTTTACTGGCTCGGCGGCCTTCTGCGTAGTCTCGGAGTCGGGAGAAGCCCAGAAGTCGAGGCTTTTCGCTCGAGTCCGGGGCCTCGGCCTTGCAGGGAAGTGATCAGGCCATTTACGCTGACTTTGCAGGGGATGTGCAGGGTGAGGCCGTGTGCCCAAGAAGCATCCCCCACGCAATTCAGCAGGCCTTGGAATCCTCGTTGCTGCCGCCTCTCTCGATAACGCCTTGCTTGGGCTGGCCAGTGTTAATTAGATGCCATTGTGAATTCAGTGAACTTTGTCTGCCTGCCCTTCCGACTCTCCCTACAAGATGAATTCCGGTCCCTCGCACTCTGCGGAGCACGCGAGCCGAGAGGCAAAAGAGGCGCCGCCAGCACGAGCCTGAGACTTGCAATTGCCAGACGTTGAAACTTGCACCGAGCACCTGCCTCATGCATCTCAGCCGAGCCGCTAAGCAAACCCCATCCTCCGACATAGTGAGAAACGTGGCCTGGCCAATTCTGGGGATGTCTCCACACTCGAAGACATGAACAAAAACGACGGCGCAACTGGTCCGGCTCTCGCGGCTTGCGAAGACTTGGTGCACGCGAGTCAACCGCCTCTACAGTATCCGTCGCTCGTGAGGCGACCCTCCAACTTTTTAGCATTAATCTTGCTCGACCGCCACCTGCATCTCCGCGGGCCGTCTGGGCTGTGAGGAAGTCAAGCCAACGGCCGGCCTCCTGGTGCCGGGTCGGATGGAGGGATTGAGGGGATGCATGGGGATGCGGGGAGGGTGCGGACTCCGCCCTCAAGCATGCAGCTGCTGTAGGGCCGAGACCTTGGCGCTTTTGGCCAGGAAGAACTCCTCGCCTGACATCGCTGCTGACTGCACATGAGAAAAAAGGCAAAGCAGCCCCCACTTGAAAGCTGAGGTGGACTGAGGCAGCTCTTCACCTTGGGGATCCTGGAAGGATTCTTAGGGCATGCAGTCATTCCAAAACAACTGGGCGGTTGAAGTCCTGGGCAACCCGTGCAACCCTCCTTCCCTCCCTCTCTCCCTTTCAGCCCTGCTGCGGCCGCCAGCAGGGCGCAACTCGATCCCATGCGGGTGCTCCCCTCAGCACCAAGAACCCTGCGGCTTCGCTATGCCACACCCGTTTTCGACAGATGCACTCTTTGACGAAAGTCCCGGCGATTTCATGAGAACCGGACTCGCGATCTCACGAGCGCGCTCCGAGGCGTAGAGGGACCTTAAGCGAGCTGTAAGATCTACCAAGAGACAAGTAACTTGTAGTCTTAGTTGATTCTTTGCAGAATCGCTACCAGTATGACTGTTTGAGTCGCCCAGCTCTTCGAGCTGAAGAACCGACTGTTGCAGTTCCCACTCCCGAATAGGTCCGCGTGCCTCTTGTGGTGATGCATACGAGCACCATGATGCAAACAATCTCAAGACAGATTTTGCGCAAGCTGCTGGAGCAGGGCAACTTCGGCGCCAGGAAGCACGATGTAGAATGTGCCTGAAACGACACCAGAGCAGGAGAGCTCCTGCTTTCTGAAGCTGTCTGACTACGTGGGCAGGCTCATGCTAAGCTCCATGCAGACCTGAAAAATACAAGCCCATACCTGAAGCCGAAAAATGCCAGTATGTAGACACGGATTTTGGATCGACGTTTGAACGGCGAATCCTTTCTACACTGATCCGGCCTCGAAGCACCGCTGTGCTGCGCTTGACCCTGGCTCAGCATGGAATGACTATGACCCTTCAGCAAGACCTGCTTTCCTTCGCAGCCTAACTTAGCCTTCATCCTGGATCAGAGTTGATCACTGGCGGACCTATCACAAATCTGCCGCTTTTCCGAGCCTGTACAGCACTAGCAAGGCCCCGCGAACTTCGCAGAAGTAGGCCTTCCACCGGCCTGCTCGCCATGCGCAACGGCAGAGGAAGCGCGTTGAATCCCAATCACCCCCGGTTTTGTACAACATCGCTCCTGTTGCCAAAACCGGACGCGACTTGGCGATGCCGATCAATCCACTGCTTGTCGAACGGATACTGTGGAAGCACGTAGCAGTCTTATCCCATCTTGAACAACAGTGGCCAACCAATCCATCCAAAATGCCACCGATCAAGCTCTCTTCCCCTGTGCTCTTGCTTCACCGTTTCTCCAGGCAAGGCACAGATGCACAAAGAACGACCATCAACAACTCTGCCTGAGGGCCGCCAGCGCAGCAGCACCCCAGGTGGAGGAACCTCACCGTCCGGAGCCATCATGGCTTGGAGGCCTCATGGAAAGAACGGAATTCGATTCCTGCATTCTTTGGCTAGAAGCGCCAACATCTAGTTAGGGCTGTCGATGCTTCAGGCACGGTCTGCGAGGCACCTCTGTGATGCCGCTTCAAGCCGTGCACTAGTGCCACCGCCAATTCAGGGCACGCACTTTTCTCGGCAAATTCTTATGTAGAAATGGCCACGAGGAATTCCATCCAGCCATGCTCATCATCATCATCAAGCAGAGATACCCGATATGCCAATTATATGTGTGATGCTACGACGGCAGCAAGCCACCTTCGTGGTCCGGCACGCCAATCATCGCCGAACCTTGGCACCACTCTTCAGCGAAGCCTTGGCCGTTGCAGCGTTGAGATCAGGCGAGCCGGACTCTGCCTCGTTAGCTTGGAGGTTCGAAGTTGGGACCAAGTGCGTGCAGCCCAGGCCAGACTAGTTGCAAGCAGGCGTGAGGCAAATATGCCAAGATGATTGCCAATGCTGCTAGTCAGCAGTAACACTGCAAGAGCGATTGAAACGGTGTACCAAGGTAATTACTGCACCTGGTAATTACTTATCATTATTAGAAAGCCAGAGCAGACGAATTTCACTTTCTAAGAGGATCAAAGGCGCTCCAGGTGTCGATGCCCATCGAAAAGAGACGGCCGAAGACCGAACGCTTCGGGCTCTCCACCTTCGGCAGGCCCTCCTGAAATCACAGCAGCAACCCATGCCAATCCAGTCGAGGCCCAAAGTACAAGTAGCAACGTTGCATCCGCCGCTGCATCAAGCATCAAGTTCTTTAAGCGAAACTTGTGGCACATTCTCTGCTTTTTACGACTTGGTGGGCTACTCGATGTCTTGTCAGCTCTTGTGTTTCTTTGACGGAGTCTTGATGCCTGTCTCGCTCTTCCAACGTCCAGGAAGGCGAGTCAGGCACTTCAATAACTATAACTCGCATCGGATGCCATTGCGTCTTCCGCATGCTGGTACATGTGTGGTTTTCCTAGAGCCCCGAAAGAAACAGTACTGCGTACTCCGTCCCATATTACTGACTGAGACGTTGCTTGCAAGGACTGGTGTTGACTGGAGTGACCCTACAATGTGCCTGGCAGGTTCGGGTGTTTGGAGATCTACAAGGCAGTCTGATGACGGCATTGCCCGGATTCGGGTTTGCGTCACGTGCCAAGACCGGGACACGGGGTTACCAGACCATGGCATAGACTCAATAATAATAATAATCATCATCATCATCATAATAAGAATAGTAATAAAATACTAAGAATAATAATAATTATTATTATTCATATTAGATCTCTCTCTCCTCCTCGTCGTTCTTGGGCGTGACTTCATCCTGAAGGCGGCAGAGCCGAGCCGAGAGCCGAGCTGAGCTTTTGCAGAGTGCGCAAAAGAGCCATTCGGAGCCTCCGAGGCGGTGTCGTTCTCCTCCAGGTCGAAGTTCACGGGGCCCTGGACGCCGACCGGAGGATCTGGATCCTCCTCAAACTCCAAGTCCTCGAGGACCCGAGGCTTGCGGCTTGCTGACATGGCGCGAATCTGAGTTCCTTGTTTCTACGGTC